TGTAAATGTTCATTAAAACTAATAAAATTTAATAATTAAAAAGAGGAATATATGATTAGGTATTATTGTCATGGTAAGAGTCCAGAATGAAAGCTGCATAGTGCAGTGGACTGGAGGGGAGGGAATTGTATAACAATGAAACAGTTTTTTTAACTTTTAAAAAAAGAAAAGATAACTTGGGGCGGCAGGGATGGGTGAAGGGTGGGCAGGGAGGAAAACGAGCAACAATGAATGAATGGAAATCCAGAGTCTCTGTAAACTTTCATTAAAATAAAAAAAAATTACAAAAATTCAGCAACACATATACTAAAATCAGAACAATACAGAGAAGATTAGCATGGCCCCTGCGCAAGGATGGCACACAAATTTGTGAAGCATTCCATATTTTTCACAACAATGAAAGAGTTTTTTTTTTACTTCTCAAGGAGAAGAGTGAATCGAGGGAAAGGGTGGGCAGAGAGCAAAGTTCAACAATGAATGACTGGAAACCCTAAGTCTGTAAACTTTCATTAAAATTAATTAAAAAAGGGGGGAAATGCAGAGAGTGAGCAAAAGAGAAGAGCACCCTCAACGAGATGAACTGACAAAGTGAGTGTAAGATTAGGGACTGGGGAGACAGTGTTGATGGCACAAGGTAGGGCAAGATTCAGGTCTCTTATTAATAGGGTTCTTGTGATTAAGGATGATAGAAGAATTGATGCCTTTGAGTTGTGGTGCTAAAGAGTATACTATGGACAGCTATGAGAACAAATAGGTCTGTCCTGGAGACAGTGAAAACAACCTGCTCCTTGGAGGCAAGTATTTTGAAGGCCTGTCTGACGTACTTTGGGCATGTTGCAAGGAAAGACAAATCCTTAGAAAGGGACAACATACTTGGAAGAGTGGAAGGACAAGACAAAGGAAAAGCCTGGATTAGAAAGAAAGGAAGACCCTAGATGGGATGGATTGACTCAATAACCAGGATAATGGGGGTAGGTGTGCCAGAGACAATGAAATTGGCACAAGATAGAGTGGGACTCAGAGCTGTTGTACGTAGGGTGGCTATGAGTTGGAGTCGACTTGATGGCACACACACAAACAACATCAACAATGATGTGTTGAACTTCCTGGGTGCATCTCACAATCATTGCTTTTTCTTGACAAGCTTGTGAAGGATGTTGTATCTTATTAAAAAATTGATTCAAACCTCATTGGATTTTTAATATTAACAGTGAATTTAAATCCCTGATGACCCAGTTTTGTTAGATTCCAAACTCATATTCCTAAATATAATACAATTCTGCCTCTTGGAAGGGCCTTGTATCTCGAGCTTTGGAGTTTGGAATGTATTTTGCAGAAAGAAGTAATTACTAAAGGTTTCTGAGTGGGGTGAATTATGGTTGTTGTAGCTGGGGATGGTTTGCATATTGCTCATTCATTTATTCATGTCAACAAATAAATACTGAGCACACATAAAAAAATACAAAGGAATTCACAAAAAAACCCAGAAGTATTTGTAATTGTTAGTAGTTTACTAAATATTGGTTTATAAATATTTTTGTGAATAAAAAAGCATATCTCTTAAAAGAAAGCTCCAAAGAACAGAGACATAAGCTTATGATCTATCTCATTTACATGTCCAACCACTATTATTGTGGGCTAAAGGCATTCACCTCTTGTTGTTATTGTTAGATGCTGTCTACTCACACTAACAATGTCACTCCTATTAACAATGAATCTGAACCTTCCCCTATCCTTTTGCTATCATTATAACTTGAGCTCATTGTTACATTCACTGTGTCAATATTTCTCATTGAGTATCTCCCTATCTTATATTCACTCCCTACCTTTCTTAATAACACCTCTTCTGAGTTCCTCTTTCCTATGTCTGTGATAAGATGTCAATATGAGTTTATTGCCCATATCAAAACATATCTAGAAAACCAGAAAGCAAAATATATGTATAATTATTCCTTTTTAGCACTTTTATGTAAATGGAACTTTAATATTATAGCTTGCATAAATCTTTCTGTAGAATGAAGCCCTCTTGAGTCTCAGGAGGAGTTTCCTCACTGGCTGTCCCAATTCTTGCACTCTCTACTTATCTGTCATTTTGAAATAAAGTACTTTTCTTGATTGTTTGTTACTGCTTTGATTACTGTTCTTTTTTCCCCCTCTTAGAACAAAGGCAAAGATTAGCTTTTACAAGCAGGTCATCAGGATCTGGAAATTGAGACAGTTAGCACCCTTGTTTGTACGGGAGAGGGAGCCCATGGCACCAAGGCAAAGCAAATATTTGCAGTTATTGATTAACCCAAGTTCCAGGCTGTGATGGCGACTGGAAGTCAACCTTACCAGTTTCCCAAGGCCCATCCCGGTAAGTTCCCAGGCTGGGACAGTTTTTGCTCTCAGATCAAGTCTTTGAAAGGAGGAGAGTGGAAGACTAAACAGTAGTGAGGGTTGAACCCTTCATCAGATGTTTGGGAGGTTTATTAAGGGTAAGGAAATCACAGCTCAGTCAACCTAAGGTGCTAGTGAACATTTCCTCAGACTGGGGCATCACAGCCTCAGGCAGCCCTCTATCATTGTGCCTCCTTTCCCTCAGACTGCCAGATAAGTGGACACTGGCTGATGGCCTCCTAGACCCAGGTAGTCTCCAGAGACATTTTCTCTACTTCCATCCCACCACCACCACTTCTAAACCTGAGATCATCAGATTTAAACAAATGTCAGAACCAGCTTTGAAGAGCTTCAGCTAGAAAAATTGGAAGTGAGGCCAGACAAGCGTTTACAGATGGGGCCAATAGGCATACTTACTTGTTCTTGAAGTCCACAGAGAGTTCCCTGGTTTATGGCTGGAATAGTTTCCTCCGTAACTATGTTGGGAGCCAGGAGTAAGGTCCCAGGCCTGAAGGCACACAGACCTTGACTTGAGTCCCAACTCTGCCACCTCCTGATCATTATTTTTAATAAGGAACTTAATTCCTCTAAGCCTCAACTGTCCTTCTATGGAATGGGGTGGGGAAGGTATTGGTACATATGTAATAATATTAACATTTTCCTCTTAAATGAAATAATAATAATAGCTAAAATATATTAAAATTATTAAGTGCATAGTGACTATTCAAACCCACTAACTGCTTTGAGAGAGAAAGATGTGGTAGAAGCAGACTGGAAACCCTATGAGGTAGTTCTATTCCATCCTTTAGGGTTTGGGTTGAAAATTATTTCAACTACTAGTTGAAAAGAATTCAATGGCAATAGGTTTGGATTTTCAGTTTAGTGTTTACCAGAGACAGTGAAGATTCAATTATAGAATTCTCCACCTCCACTCTATTCCTAGTCAATGCACCTTAAATGTAACCACCACTTACCTGTCTGGGAAGGCTTTCATTTTGCTATGATGCTGAACAAGAGTCTCTGTATAATATAAATGTTTAACAGCTTGACTACTAACCAAAATGTTGGTAGTTCAAACCTGTTAACAGTACTTTGAAGACAAGTCTTACAATCTGCTTATGAAAAGTCACAACTTAATAAATCTATTAATTTATAAACCTATGATCTACTTTGCACAAATTGGTATCACAATGCATTAGAATCAACTTGGTAGTAATTAACAGCATAATGTTGAACAGGTTTTAGCAGAGGTTCAGTTATGGGTTCTGACACAAAGGAAGACAACAGCCATCACACATATTAACATGGAGAAGTGAGAAAGACTTGGCATTCTACCTTTGAAAATCAGATCATGAAAACTCCTTGGGTCACAAAGGTCTGATCCACAGCTGATTATGGAGATAACAAAGGACAAGGGCATGTTTTGTTCTGGCCACAAGTCAGGAGCTGACTCCACTTCAGCTAACAGCAACCCTATTTAAAAAGTTTTGTGTGGATTAACTAATTTAATCCTTACAACAATCACATAAAACAAAAATTCATTTCTTTTATCCATTTTTTAAAAATGGGAAAACCGAAGCATAAAGCAATTAAATCTCTTACCCAGTGATAGATTTGAACTCAAGTTCAAAGGCAACTTCAAGGCTTGCCTTCTGAATCACACACAAATTGCTTAAAAGACACTATATGTGTACAATAAATGTTAGCTATTATTCTTTGCCCATCAGACCCACAAAGACATAGCTGCACACCCTTCCCCAGTTTAGGGACACAGGTGAGTCATATATATTCAGGGAGCATTATATTGTGTAAAGCGTTTTCTAGGTTGAGTCTCTTTGATGTTCATGAGGACTCTGTGTGCCTCTACTTCTTCATCTCCCTGCTTTAGATGGTGTGACCTTAATCAAGACAGAAAATAGACTGAGACAACAGGTGGCTGGCTGGGGATATATAGTTCTTTGCCTAGTTTTAGCCTTAAAGGCAACTAACAAAGAAGAAGGTTCTTTCTTTGGGGTTCCTTTTGGGATGGAGGTGGGGCACAGGCAGAGCAGGGGACCTGCAGAGTTACCAAAAGCTCAGAATTTCTTCTTGGACAGGTGTACGCAAATCCATAATGTGGCAGTTCATAAGTCTCTTACTGTTCGTGGCCAGCTGGGAAATTTCTGGCACACCAGCTACTTCTGGTAAGGTCATCTTTATCTCTGTTCCCTACCCACTGTGAACACACCATCTCTGACATCTTCCCAGGCCACACACTTCTCCATCTTACTGGGTCTAGCATAAGGATGAGAAGCAAGTGTAGAAGCTGCCTGAGTGTCCAGTGCAGGGCAGGTAGTCACATCTTGGAGCTCCTTCCTCCACTCCCTGCTCATAAAGTGCCCACTGACCTTCCTATTTCAACAGGGTTACTTACTTGTGACAGGCCCATACCCACATCACTCAGAGTGCCTGTCTTTCCTCAATTGCACATCTGCCATGTCATTAATCTACCCCTACCCCTGCTCCTGCCCCGTCTCTCACTTCCTTAGGTAAAAGGAGGAAGCTCACTCACAGGGAGGCCTACAGACCCATTCGGCTGTAACCTCTCTCTCATGCTTCCAGCTCTCCAGAACCCACTAAGCTAATCTTACACGTATGCCCTTTCTTAAGCTTCTTGCTTTGTTTGTGGGCTTCTTTCTTCTTTATTCCCACTCATTGTCTCTTTGAGTCCTTTTTCTTCAGCTCAGCAGACTTCCTTTCTTGGCCTACCAACTCCCTTGACCCTATCCTCCTCCTTTGACCTCTCTCTTGCTTACTTTCTTTGATGTGACCTCTCTATACTTACTGTTTCACTACATCAACGACAACACATCTGGAACCCAGAAGACATTACTGGAGACAGGTCTACCTGTCTTCCAGGTATTCCTGTCCAAGGAGAAGGACACAGGAAATGCTCAAATGAAGGTGAGGGTGTGCTTTCCAAAAAGAAAAGGCAAGAATGAGTAAGGCATCAAGAAGCGCTACATAATGTGTTCACAGAACAATGAGACTAATTTAGCTTTGGAATCATAAGAAGAATAGTAACAAGAACAATGACAACAGTATATGGCATTTTGTAAGTGCATAATTCTGTGTAAAGGTAGGGTTTCCAACTGAGAATGAAGGGAAATCAGAACAGATCCCAAACTTCTAAGACTTGGGTAAAGCAGAACAATAACCAGAACAGGAAAAATTATTTATGAAAACTCTGGAGTGGGAGACTTGGAAGAAATGTAATGAGACCTTTCAAGAACCTAATTATTACCAGGGAAATTGAATAATTGTTAGGATGTAGCGGGCAACATACGTTAAAAATAGAGTTGTCAGCCACAATTTTTGAGCAGGTTATTTCTCTTTTCAACTCTTCAAATCAAGATATTTGGTTGCTACACAACATGCATGCACACTGTCCTTGTTTTCTAAGAAGGAGCTTAAGTTTCAAGTAGGATATGTGATTAATTTTTAAGCAAGGTACCAAATGACCTGTAATTTTTCCTGAGCTTGTTACCATTATGTTTTGTTGATTTTATGACTGAACCAGGAAGAACTGGTTCAAAGGCCTACTTAAAGGTCATAGCCTTAAAATCCCATAGAGTACTATGCACATAGGGCTTGCCAGGAGTTAAGAATTGACTTGATGGCAACCAACAACTTAAACAATGATCTCGTCTTCCCTCCACCCCATATATAAGTAAATGGAGGCTTAGAGAGGGAAAGATACTAGCTCACAGTCATACAGACGCTGAGTTGGAGTTCAAAGGGAGATCTGTCTTCTACTGAAGTAGATGTCCTTAGAATTCAAGCCTTCTGCCTTCAAGAGGTCATTTCCTCTTTGTGTGGCAAAGGGCAAAGAAGTATAGAACAGCATCATTATCTAGAGATATAATAATCCCCATGGAGCCTCAGAAAAAAACCTTTCCAGGTTTTCTGAGCTTGATTCTCCTAGACCCTCTCCAGACCCCGCACCCTCATCTCCTCTGCCAAAGCGAGCTTCACTGCCCCTCCTTCAGATGAAGTGTTCTCCAGTGCTGAGCATGCCCACCAGGTGCTTCAGATTCGAAAGCGTGCCAACACCTTTTTGGAAGAGATTATGGCAGGAAACTTGGAGCGTGAGTGCATGGAGGAGACCTGTGACCTAGAGGAAGCCCAAGAGATTTTCAAAAATGTGGATGACACGGTAAGTCTATATATAGTACAATTTGGAGGCCAAGCTGGGATCCAGAAATTCTGCAAGAGGTGAGAATTGGTCTCTGAGATGATAGGCACTGCACCAGCCCCTTGGCTATCAGATTGTTGCAGGTGGACAAGTGAGATGAATGGAACAGTGAACCTCAGTCAGGCCTTGGTCAGGTAAAAGTAACTTCAAGAACTGCAGTTTAGCTCCAGGAAATAGGATGGACAAGTTCTCAGCTGGGATTCTTAGTTAACCTCACTGCAGATCATTCAGTCTACTTTTCACCCACAGCTAGCCACTAAAGCTTCCCATCTCTGCATTCTCTCTCTCTCTCTCTCTCTCTCTCTCTCTCTCTCTCTCTCTCTTTCTAATAATCTACTATCCCTGCTTCCCATCCTGCACCTGCTGATCAAGCGCATGTGACCTAAGATTCTCTAGTGTTTGGGCATAAAAAACTGTGCTTCACTGAAATTTTCATGGGGAAAAATCTGATTGCTCGGGAATTTGAGAGGAGGATCAGAGTGGCCCAAAGGTTGCAGAACCTTGTGGAAATGGTAGAATGGGCTTGGTAAGAGAAGTGGCTTTAAGTTTTCTAAGTCCACCTAGAACCTGCCTCTGTCCCTTCTATTTATAGTTGGCCTTCTTGTCCAGGTGCTATGGCGACTGCCTTTTAGACCTCTACAAATCCAGCCTGTCACCACAGAGCCCCACTCCACAATTCTGTGAGCTCAACTAAACTAACTAATCAGACCTGGTGTGGTGGCACCACTCGGAGTCCCCATCCAAGCTATTCAGGACTCCCTTCTCCCGGCTCCTTCTCTCCCTTTGCCCTTTCTCAGCTAACTCTTGATCTGCTCCACTTTTTGTCCCCACTGCCTCTTTCCCCCGAAAGCCTCCTCAGCAAGTGCAAAATATTTTACCTGCATGTGCAAATCTGAGCAATTAAACCTCTCCTGTGTACTCCATTCTTCCTCTTGGTAGAACCAAAGCTGCTTGTTCAATGCTCACCTCAGCTTGTCTAGTCTTACAATTTCTTTAATCTGTGTATCATGTTTCTTCTACCCTGTCTTCTTCTAGCCTCTTGTGATGGCTGAGGTAGTACATCTCAGAGTATTCAGTGGTCCCCAGAATAGCAACGTTACTTAGGTCCTGAGTGAAAATGCAGGGTCTCTGCTGCCCCAGACTCTGGACCAACATCTGTACTGTGCGAAAGTTATCCTGTGCACACTCACTCTAAAAACTCCTGGATGACTTGGATCCCACTCAACAAGCTGTAGAAAGGAAGTGAAGGAGCTGTAAGGAGGAGGGCATTTGGGAATGTTCACGGAGGTTGGAGGAGCATAATTTTACTTGATGCAGCAGTGTTGGAATCTGGGGACAAGCAAGGATCTATTCCTTTGTGTCTGGAACCCCACTCTCCCATGCCTCCCCTCCAAGCCCACCTTCCCTCTCCTCTAAGCCCACCTAAAGTCTACCGCTGCCCCTTGTCTCCACAGCTGGCCTTCTGGTCCAAGTATCACGGTGAGTGCCTTCTAGAACCCTATCCCTGGGCATGCAACCCCCATTCCTCCCTCGCCCATTCTCTCTGTGTCTTGGTGTCTCGGTTCATGGGTGGAACCATTAGGGGTGCTGGGAGGCCCAGACTAACAACACTGTGACCTTTTTCATCTCCTTTTGTAGATGAGGACCAGTGTGCAGCTCCACCTGCAGGGCACGCTTGCAAAAGTCCCTGCTGCGGGCATGGCTCTTGCATTGATGGCATCGGAAGTTTCCGCTGCGACTGTGCCCAAGGCTGGGAGGGCCGCTTCTGTACACACGGTGAGGGCGTAAGGGGGAGGGGGGGGAGGGGAGGCCAGAAAAAGCTTGTATAAAATGTTGTCCCATTCCCTTTCCCCCACTTCCTCCCCATACCCCTATCCCACAAGAGACTGCAAGGGCTGGTCCTGCTGTCAACCACCATTTGTGAAGATTCCAGACAAATGGGGTCGGGGGAGGACATTTTGTGTACCTTCCAGCTAAGCCTTAGGCATTCAGTTGTTCTCCTTTCCTGGCCTAGAGGTGGTCTTCTTCAACTGTTCTGTGGACAATGGCGGCTGTGCACACTATTGCTCAGAGGAAAACGAGGGGGGTCGCCACTGCAGCTGTGCCTCTGGCTACAGACTGGGAGATGACCACATGCACTGTGAGCCCACAGGTGAGCAGCCTGGAGTCAAAAGGGTCAACTTGGGGCCCAAGTAGCCAGGCCCTTACCCCAAGCTCCATTATTCAAGCTCAGGCATCCCTAGGCTGTGTTATCATAAGGTGTGGATCAGTCATCTTGAGTAAAATTCACTAAGGGGCCTGAGGCAGGGCAATGGAAGGCATCAGAGGGGCACCGTTAGGAGTGTTCATTGAAAGACCTAGAAAGTGATGATACTGTTAGGTGCTATCAAGACAACTATAATTCATAGCAAACTTTTGAACAACAGATCTAAACCTTGCCCTATCATCCTCACCATCTCTAATATCCCAGAACTCATTTTTACAGTCACTGTCCGTCTATCTTATTGAGGTTCTTCCTCTCTTTCTCTGACTCTCTACCTTTCCAAGGCATGAGATATTTTTTCCAAGAACTGACCCCTCCTGACAACATGCCCAAAGCATGTAAAATGAAGTTTCACCATCTCACCTCTTTTTTTTTAAAAAAAAATAGATATATAAAATTTCATTATTGTTTAACACTCTTTTCCTCCAAGATGGATTTGTTTGTTCTTTTGGCAGTTCATGGTATATTCAGTGCTCTATTCCAACACTAAAATTAAAAGGCATCAATTCTTCTTCAGTCTTCCTTATTTATTGTCCAACATTCAGATTTATAGGAAACAAGTGAAAATATCATGGCTTGAATCAGGTACACTTTAGTCATTAAGCTAACTAGCACCTTGGAGAGGTTCTTGACAACAGATTTTCCCAAGAAACACACTTTTGTATTTCTTCACTACTATTACCATGAGTATTAATTGTGATTCAAGTAAAATGAAACTGTTGACAATTTGAAACTTTTCCACATCTACCATGATGTTATCTTCTGATCTAGAGGCATTGATTTTTGTTTTCTTGATGTTGAGATGTAATCCATATTTCAGTCTTTGATCTTCAGTAGGTGTTTGATGTCCTCTTCACTTTCTGTAAGCAAGGTTGTGTCAGCTGCATAATGCAGGTTTTTGATGATTCTTACTTCACCTCTGACACCACTTCTTCATAGAATCCAGCTTCTCAAATTATTTTCTTTGCATACAGATTGAATAAGTACAGAGAAATGATACAACCTTGATCCGCACCTTTCCTGATTTTAAACCACACAGTGTTTCTCTGTTCTGTTTGGAAAACTGGTTTTTGGTCTGTAAGTGGAGTTTGCATGAGCATAATTAAGAGATCTGAGATTCCCAGCCTTCTCAATGTTTTTCATAATTTATCATGATCCACATTGTCAGATGCCTTTGCATAGTCAACACAGCATAAGTAAACATCTTTCTGGTATTCTCTGCTTTCAGCCAAGATTAATCTAACAGCAGTGTACCACTGCGTCTTCTGAATCCAGCTTGAATCTCTGGTGTTTTCTGTGAATGTACTGTTCCAGCTGTTTTGAAGGTACTCAAAAAATGAATAGAAACAGGTGCAAACATCCATTAAGATTGAAACATGGAATGCATAAAGTATTAATCTAGGAAAATTTGTTAGGTGCCTTCAAGTTGAGTACAACTCATAGCGACCCTATGAACAACAGATCTAAACCCTCTCTTCTCCTGTGCCAGTTTACACTTCCTGACACACTAGAGCCCATTACAGCAGTCACTGTGTCATCCACCTGGTTGACGGTCTCCCTCTCCTACACCAACCCACCATGTTCCTCTCCAAGGAATAGCCCCTCCTAGCAACATGTCCAAAGTATATGAGGTGAATGTCATCATTCTTGCCTCCAAAGAGCACTCTGGCTGCACACTCTCCAAGACATATTTGTTTGTTCGTTTGGTAGTCCATGGAATATTCGGAACTCTTCTCCAACACCACAGCTCAAAAGTATTAATTCTTTTATCATCTCTGTTACTTGTCTAACGCTCACAAACATAACAAGAGATTGGAAAGACAATGGCTTGAATCAGATGCACCTTAGTCTTCAAACTGACATCATCAATCCTCAATATTTTGGAGAGGTCTCTAACTGCAGACTTTCTTAGGGCAATGTGTCTTCTTATTTTCTGACTGCTGGTACCAAGAGTATTAATTGTGCATCCAAGCAAGATGAAGCTGTTGACAGTCTCAATCTCCTCTCCATCCATGATGGCGTTGCCTATCAGTCCAGTGGTAAGAATCTTTGTTTTCTTGATATTGAGATGTAATCTATATTGAAGGCTACATTCCTTGATCTTACTAAAAAAATGCTTCAAACACTTTCAGCATGCAAGGTAGTGTCATTTGCATAATGCTGGTTATTGATTAATACCTCTCCAATCCTGATACCACACTACTCTTCATAGAATCCAGCTTCTCAAATAATTTGTCCAGCATACAAATTAAATACGTATGGAGAGAGAATGCAACCTTGACACACTCCTTCCTTAATTTTAAACCACACAGTGTTCTCCTGTTGTGTTAGCACAATAGCTTCCTGGTCCAGGTATAGATTTCACATGAGTACAATTAAGTACTTTGGGACTCCAGTTCTTCTGAATGTCAGCCACAACTTTTTATGATCCACACAGTTCAAAGCCTTTGCATAGTCAATAAAGCACAGATATTCTTTACTTTCATCCAGGATCCATCTGACATTAGCAATGATATCCCTGGTCACATGGCCTCTTTTAAATCCTGCTTGAATTTCTGGCATTTCTCTATGTATGTACTGTTCCAGCCATTTTTGAATGATCTTTGGAAGTATTTTGCTTGTATGTGATAGTAACATATTGTTCTATACTTTCCACATTCAATTGGATCACATTTCTTGGGAATGAGAACAAATATGGACAACTTCCATTTCATTGGCTAGACAGATGTTCTCCATATTTCTTGGCATAGACTGGTGAGCACATCCAAGACTGCATCTGTTAAATGAAATAAGTCAATTTGTATCTCATCAATTTCTGTGGCCTTATTTTTGCCAGTGTGTTCAATGCAGCTTCTACTTCTTCCTTCATTACGATTGGCTCCTGGGGGGTGGGTTATATTGATTTATTTGACAGTTGAATGTAAACTATGTGGGCCTTTTTAATTAAGTTATCAATCAGTTGTAAGGTGATTGTTCATTTTTATTTAGTTAACAATCAGGTATGACTAGAAGTCTCTTGTTTAAACCAATCTCTTGACTAACCTGGTGGGCAGGCCTTTGTATTTAATAGCCATTTGAGCCTGAGGGTCTCCTGCTCTCAGGCCTGGTGTGAAGACTAATTTGCTATTAGAGTTATGAACTAAATTGGCAGTTTGTTGTGTTTGGGGAGAACATTGTTCTAAGTGGTATAGCACTTGTCTGTCAGTTTACAATACTAAGATAATGGGGAATTGCTGTAATACTGAGAACTAAGCCACTGATGTGTCAAATGGGATACCAAAGGTGAGCAGGTGGAAGATAGACTAGGAAGACGGACTAGGAAGCAGGAAAATTAGAAGTTGTAAAAAAATTTCTTGGAACCCATAAATACTGGAGCATTAAAAATGTGGAAGGAATACACAGAATTACTATGCTAAAAAGAATTGGTCAACACTGAAACATTTAAGGATGTAGCATATGACCAGGAACCAATCGTAATGAAGGAAGAAGTTCAGGCTGCACTGAAGGTATTGATAAAAAAACTAAGCCCCAGGAAATTATAGAATACTTACTGACATGTGTCAACAAAAAGATGCAGCCATGAATGTGATCACTAGCTTCTACATAGACAACTGACTACAAGAGAGTCATATTTGTACCCATTCCCAACAAAGGTACTCTCACAGAATATGGAAATTATTGAATAACAATATCACGCACAAGAAAAATCTTAATGGAGATTTTTACAAATTATTGGAACAACATATTGACAACGAACTGCCAGAAATTCAAGCTAGATTAAGAAAGTGACAACAATTGAATTATTTGGTGATGGGAAACATGCCCACCACAACCCAAAGGTGCCACTATTCACACTGTCCCTGCTCCATGAGACGGCATTGACCAGTGTTCATATGTAATTCATATCCCAGACTTGGAACCATCTGAGAGCCATGTGTCATGTAACCTCCTGAATAGGGTTGTTTTGTTTGGACATGTAGTCCGATCTAGGATTCCTATTGGAATGTCACCTCTTGGCATGAAGAGAAACACGAATCATGATTACTCCTTGTGTTATGTTTTCCACTTTCAATATTTACACAATTTTATACATGTGCAAAATTTAGGATGCTAATTTTATGACATTTTTCATGTTATCAAGGATATCATCCATGAAGAGAGCAAAAGGTCTACTCTCTTCATGGAAAGAGGAGAAAGAAAAGACTAAGTGAATGTCAGAAGAGACTCTGAAAATTGCACTAAAGCATCAAGAAAGGAAGAGATGAAGAAATAAAAGAGATTAATAGAAGATTCCAAAGGGCAGTTCAAGAAGACGAAGCAAAGTATACTGGTGTTGAAGAATAAAAAGTGAAGAACTTACTCAGAATTTCTCAAAGGGGAGGAACTGAAAAACAAATTCAAGGTTCACTCTCTAGTTTCAGCACCAAAAAGAAAAAAGAAAAAAACCCACCACAATGAAAACAAAAACGATCTCCCAAAGAACAATAATTCAAACCTTGAATTGCAATTCTGAAAAATGCTATGTGCAAAATCTTGAATAATCCAGGAAACATTAAGAGAAGATGGAGGTTTTGCATATATACATTTCACTATGTTGAGGAAATTCCCTTCTATTCCAATTTTAATGAGTGTCTTTATCAGGAAGGGGTGTTGTGGATTGTCAAAGGCCTTTTCTGCATCAATTGCTAAGATCATATGGTTCTTGTTATTTACTTTGTTAAGATAGTGAATTACGTTGATTGTTTTTCTTATATTGAACCATCCTTGCATACTTGTTATGAATCCCACTTGGTCATGGTGAATTGGTTTGGGTTTTGGGTTTTTTTTTTGTTTTTTTTATGTGCTTTTGGATTCTATTGGCTAAGATTTTGTTAAGAATTTTTACATCT